GATGGATGGATGGATGGATGGATGGATGGATGGATGGATGGATGGATGGATGGATGGATGGATTCCACATTAGACTGTGGAGGAAATTTTCTCTTACTCACTTCTCCATCAGCTGAGTAATCCTTCCAGCTTGTTCCATCCACACTGTGCTGCAGCTTAAATTTAGTGACCCAGTGGTCACTCTGAGGACAACCCTGGATTACAATCCCAGTTACTTTCCTGATCTGACCGAGGTTCACTTGGATCCAGCTTGAAGATGCTGAAAGAGCAGAACATCTTGTTTTACCTAAAGTCGACCAATTAGGCCTCTCCTGTGGACTTAACATGAAGCTCACAGTCAAAGGATATTTAGAAACCAGTTTCCTACCACTTCCTGAGGGCATCCAGCAGGAATCTCCATTCAAACGTGCTTTTTGTGCGGTAAAGGAGCCGATGGAAGAAGAAGCAGAAAGCTGGATGTCTGTAATGTTCCCATCCTCGACACCCAGGCCGTGCAAACATACTGATAAAAGGCAACATTTATTTTATATAAACTGTGAACATAATGTGATCCTACATACAAAATAAAAAAAATCGACAGTATAAAGTATTTTCATTTTCAAAAATACAATAAAAACTGAGATAAAGATTTTACCTTTCTGCTCACAGCTATAGACTATCTCCAGATATTTAGACACAGTGGGACAGGGGTCCTCCTCGGTGTAGGCATAGGCAAAACAGAAAGGACGGTTATCACACGCCTTTCTGTACTGAGGAAGAACTCCTTCAACAGTGCAGCTGCCTGAAAAGCAGGTCAAAATCATAAACGGATAAATAAAATAGGTTGATTACACAAAACACTCTGCAATAGCTAATAGGCAGCAGGACCTTCAGATCCATCAAAGTGTGGGCAGATGTCGTCGCTCTTTCGGCCGTAGAAAGCAGACTGGATGTTTATCACACTCTCTTGTGGACAATGGAGGACGGCAGTAGATCCTTGGCACACGATTGCTGTCATAAAACCTGAACCAAAAAAAAAAAAAAATGATGTCAATACTGGGGGTATTTTATAGAATTTGATCTTATATCACCCTTAAGGGAGCAGTAGGGAGATGTCTTCTTTACCATCATGTGGTGGAGGAGGCTCAGGTGTTTTTCCTGAAAATAAGAAGCTCACATTTAGCTCTCTGTCGACCTATTATTTAATACTCTAGCCTCAGCAGCAGTTTAAGCAAAGCTTCTCACCTCTCCGCTTACAGATATATCCTCTCTTGCTCTCGCAGTTGTCATCATTCCAGTAGCCATTATTAATAAGTATCGTCAGGCAGTCTTCGCCAAGATAATCATCTGGGTTACCTGTGAGAGAGAACATAAATTCTGCTGTCTGACTGCTTTGGTTTTCAGAGATAACCCATATTTTTCACCCTCATATATACCTGCATTCCAGCGGATGTATCTAAACGGAGAGCCGTCCGTCCACTCCCAGCCACCCTCCGTGACTGAGTCATGGCCTCCCATCCAAAGGGAGATCCCAGTTGGGGTCTGCTGGATCAGGGCTGCGTTTGAAACAGAACGGTTCGCTGAGCTGCTTTTCACATCAATAAGTTAATGATTTTAAGGATGTTTGTATGGCTGCTGAGCCTAATATGCTTCAATTCATTAACTGAAACAGGGAGGCTACAGTTCACCTGAAAATCTGTAAAGATGTTATGTGGTAATATTCAATATATATTACTTAGACTTAGACAACTTATTGTCATGTTGTATACACAGACGAAATTTGATTTTGTACAGCTTTCATGACATTTCCATTTCTTAAAGTGCAGCAGTGATCAAATGTAAACAGTGTGGGAGAAAAAAACATGGTTCAAAAACACACATTGATATGGTCAGTTTGATGGAGAGTCTGTGACATGATTTTTAAGTTTTTTCAACATTCAGCAGTCTGATGGCGGTGAGGAAGAAGCCGTTTTGGAATCTCCTGGATATGGATTAAACGCTGCGAGGCCTCTGCCCAGAGAGTGGCAGCGAGAACAGTCAATGATGGGGGTGTGAGGGGTCACTGATGACGGCTCGGGACACGCAGCTCTGGCATGAAATGGGAAGAATCCTCTCTGCTGTTCTCACCAATCTTTTCGCCTTCCTCAAGTCCATTTATTTACTACGCATAATTAATGGTTAAAGCGCACTTCTAAAAAATAAAGACCATCACCAAAAGCCATTCATACACTGTATTTATCAAGTTATGACTATTGTCTTTTCACTCAACCATTTAAAGTTTTTTTTTTTTTATCTCTGTAAAAAAAAATATTGCCAAGTTTGGTATGCAGTGTTTACAGCCAGGACAATGTGAGGCAGGTTTCACTTTTTGTAGATGAGTTGTGCACAAACAGGAGTAAATCCATAGAAAGGGTTCTTTTGATAGATTGATTTAAAATTGACTCTAGGTTTTAAAGTTAATCTCAGGACGCCACTGGATATTTAATAATCATAACATAATTATGTATATATTTGTAGGCAAATGTTGCTTTATATTCATGCAAATAGACAATATACTACAAAAACAGGAGCAAGATGGCTTAGAGCTTTAATTACCTTGTATGAAGGTCTGCTCAAAGGGTTCAGTGATACTGAGAAGATCCCCTCCCTGGTTGACACAGTCAGCTCGGGCCTCTGCCCAGGTTCTCATTGATAGGTAGTTTAAAAGGTAGCAGTAGTCATTGAAAGGGTCAGGGGTCCAAGAGCCACATTTCTCATTCCATCCTGCAGCAGATGCAACAACTCAGACATCCACATGCATTGAAAGACGAGTTAGTAACAGGACTGGGAGCAGAGGAACATACCTGGTCCAGACGTTGGAGGGTGAGGAGGAGGTCCTTGACCCTTTGCTAAGGTGAAAGAAAGTTAAAGGTTACTACAAAAAGAGAAGGGTGGATAAAGGAAGTGAAGATGTGTAAAAGCATCGCACCTTTTTTACAAACAAATTCCTTCGTGGCAGTGCATTTTTCATCATTAAGCTTCCCAGGATCAGGGTGGGTCATTCCTGTCAGGTGAACGCAGTCCTCGTTGTTTTCCCAGTTGTCTGGTTGGCCTAGCGCCCAGGGGAGGAGGTCCTGACATCATCAGCAAAGAGAAACACAAACTGAGGTGCTGCTGAGACGTTACAGTGGAATGAGAGTTTGTCGGATGAGTTTAGCTATGGTTAACTTACTGCAGCGCTTCCATCGGTGTACACGAAAACGCTTTCAGCTGTGATGTCATTTAAGCCCACCCAGGCTTCCCCTGGCATATGAGCTGTGGAAAAAAAAGAGATACGCTGAACAACGTCAATAGAGGGCATAGCAAAAGTATTCAAACCCTTTTAAATCGTTTGTCATGAAACAGCAGCAACTTTTATGCATTTTTTATTATTTGATTCTATGCAAGAGACCAACAGGTAGTGTATAACTGTGACTTAACAGTCTAAGTTACATTTGTATTCAGCTCCCTTTGCTTAACTTACCAAATAAAATCCAGTGTTACTAATTTATTTGGTTGCTCCGTAAAGAGCTAAATGGTTTATTAAAATAAATAGCTACACATGAGAGCAGGTTTATGTCAACTGTGGAAAAGCTGCAGAGTTTCCCATTGGGAAGATCTGTTGACAAAAGATTGAACTTTTTCCCCCTGGTCTTGATCATATGTATTGGAAAAAAAGCCGCCTTCTAATAGCACAATTTCATGGTTTAAATGGTTGCATCACTGAGTTCTGTTATTAGGGTGGTTTTCCTCAGCACAACAGAAAAGCTGGTACTAATGGCAAAAATGGAAACTATTCCTAAAAGAAACAAAAGTCATGGGTTATAGTAGAAATAGGAAAACATGCAGCTCCAATTAAATCAAAGGCATTGAACAGAAATGCAGAATACATTTTTTTAGACTTTTAACGAGGGAGATGAAATTATGTTTTGTTTCTCTTATGTCACAGTTATACTCCACCTTTTGTGTGGTCCATCACATTACCGTAATTAGGTTTGTTGTAAAATGAAAAAATTCAAAGTGTATGAATATTGATGCATGGGGTTATAATCCATAGCTGCCCACCAGTGAGGAAACTGAGCTCTTCCTCATTATGAAAGCTGACCAGATGACCCTGCTCTTTGGTGCAATGAGCCTCGGCATCATGCCAGTTTTTCACCTGCTCCGTCTCAAAGTGATAGCAGTAGTCCTTATACAGCAGGTATCCTCTGTCACAGTGGCCATCTGAAGCAAACACAACAGTTACTGGTAGAGCTGGGACTGCAATGTACATACAGAGGGCGGATGAAAAGGAACTAACCAGGAGATGCAGTGGGTTGAGGGTTCATTCCACCTGTCATCTCACAGATGTAACCCAGGTTCTTAAAGCAGTTGGTTGTTTCCCATTTGCCCTCATAGTTCCCTAAAAACCAGAGCAATCATTCTGGAAGCTAGCAGCAGGAACAGTTTATATAAGTGCAAAGTGACAGAGGGGAGAGTCTCACCTGTAAAGATCTGACCACAGTCCCACGTGTCAATCGTGTTTCGGGGCCAGCCAGCTCCGTAATTTGAAAATTCGACTTTGCTTTTATCCGTCCATTTGAAGTCTCCGTCCTGGTACATATCTGGAGGCACATCAGAACTTTATCGTAGGAACTTAAAAGGGACTTTTCAATGGATAAAAAGGAGATTTGATCAAAGCCAATGGAGGACCTGATAGGCCGATCCAGATGTCAGGAATCTCAACTTGGTGAAAGTCTGGAAGTTTCCCGTTTATGAAAAACTGCTCTTCTTGACTTTGTGTGATTAAAAAAGACAAAGGGAAAAAAATCACATTACAAAAATGAAACTTCAGCTGCCTAAAAAAGTTAAAATTTTGGTTATTTTTTAGTTGTTTTTTTTTATTATTGTCAACAACAAAACGAGGAATGTATCCTCTCAATAACACACAGTAAAATCCTTCCAAGAGGCTTTTAACCTTTCTTTTACTGTGAAACACTGTGATCCTCTGCTTGCAATAAAGAAAGCAGGTAATGTTTCTAACAGAGGCTTACGGAAGAGGATTAGGGCCACTGAAAAAAAAAAAAAAGTTAACTGATTTTTAAATTTTATTTCAGTTTAACATGGGAAAAAAGTCAGAATTCTGACTTTAATCTCAAAATTCTGAGAACAAAGTCAGAATTTTGAGATTAAAGTCAGAATTTTGAGGAAAAAGTCAGAATTCTGAGATTAAAGTCAGAATTCTGACTTTTTCCCGATGTTAAACTGAAATAAAATAAAAAAAATCTGTTAACTTTTTTTTTTTTTCAGTGGCCCTAATCCTCTTCCGTAGAGGCTGAACCAGAACATTTCATAGAAAAAAACAGGACCCCAGGATTGTTTTTTTTTTTTTAAACCAACATGGTTGTTTCCAAAGATAATATCCATACGAAAAACATAAATCCCTTTAGCTGGATTTATTCCTTTTATGACTCTGAAAACTGATGTTATTAAACATGCAAAAGGATTTTTTATTTTTTTAAACAACTTGAATAAGTTTTATGAATAAAAAAAATGAAGGTATAACCAATTAAACCCCACCTCAGATTTAATCAGCTCAGAAATGAAGAACTGAATAACATTTTTTCATATGCTGCAATAGTGTTTGCATTACAATTTAAGTGCTAGTTTTTAGTTATTTTGGAGCAATAAAGCAAAAGGTGAAAAAAAAGAAAGTTTCTAATTTTAATATTTTCTGGTTTTATATCTAAACAAACATAACTTTTGTCCAGAGCTACCTCATGCAAGATGTACTGAGAATACTCTACTGGTGGCCTTCATTTGTTGCATTATATATATATAATATATATATTTGAATTTGTTAAACGAGTGTAATTTAAAAGTGCTGTTACGTTCTGTTTTGTTTTGTTTTTTTTTTTTTTTGGTATGTGTTAAAGCTCCTGTATAAAAGGTTCAACTCATATCCTATGTGATGATGGTGATATAAAAGAGAAAATAAACATTTCTGACAATTTTTTAAGTGCAATGTTCTTTGGTCTCTACCTGTTAATGAACAGCAGGTGAGCGCTCATACCAGAGCATGTGGTTGCAGCCTCATGCCAAGTGGTCAACATATTGATGTTACTGACGATCCAGTAACAGCTTCCCTTAAAGCTCTGCCAACCCGGAGGACAGATAGCTGGAAGAAGAGGAGACATCACTCACAATCCAAACAGTATAAGGGGACCCTCGGAAAAATGATCACATCTAGCTGAGCTTACTGCTGATTAGACGTTTGCATATGTATGGACGCTCATATTTGCACAAATGGGACCTCCACTTTCCAAATGCCTCCGATGAGTCTTTGATTAAGGCAGCGCACCCGCCCACTTGTGGGTCTCTGTTAGAGAATAAAAGCTTTAACCCAAATGTATGACGTTTTCATAGAAATAAGTCAAAATGTTTTCTGTGGAGATATTTGGTCTTACACTGACTGGTTGCCATCCCAGTTGGTGAATCCCACCTGCATTGCATCAGACCAGGCAAACTGGCTGTTCGCAGGATCAAGATGACATGAAATCTTGTTGCATTTCTGGTGAAACAAAACTCCTTTTCAAAGTCATAAGGGTCAAAATTTATCTTTTATCCTCCAGCAGACACATGAATGTCTCAATCCATCAACATATTCAACTCACCAGAGTGGAGAGCCCAATCCAGAAGTCCAGGTGTGTTGATGACAGTGTTCCCATCATATACGTATTTTCCTCCAGTGAGGTTATAGAAACCAGGTCTCCTCCCTCCTGCAAACAGTCAAGTCTGGCTGCCGACCAGCTCTTCATGGTTTCTGACTTAAACTTGTAGCAGTTGGAGCCGTGCTGCCGCCAGCCGTTGGCTAAGTCACACTGTGGGGCAGGATTTGCTGCAGGAGATGGAAAATGGCTTTAACTATCTCCTAACTAAACCATCTCAGTATGGAAGCAGCTGTGATCAACTATATCAGCTGGATTGTTTGGAACTGTACTGAAATGTGCTTTACACCAAATTATCAACAGGTCATATCAAAATATAGAAACCTGCTGGGACTAGCCTGTAGCATTTCAGCAAACTACTCAACTCAAAATAGCATCAGTCAGAAAAACCTGAGTTTATTAGAGTATTTGTAGCTTTAAAAACAAAAGATCTTTTTACGAAATTCAAAATGCCTTTACTAATTATAGTAATGTTCCTAATATTTCTATTATAGAGCACATGAGTTGACTGATATAAAACCGAAGCATTAATTTGTACCACGTATTGCCAGTGGAAGCCATCTTCATATTTACTGCAACTTCTAAATGTAAAAACATAAAGAGTGCATTGTAAACAGCACTGATTTTCACTTTAATGTGAATTTGGAATAGTTTTGGAACCATTAATTTCTCTGTTCTGTATAAGAGATAAAAAAAAAATACATGATGATTAGAAGAGCAACATTATTAGTCCAGTTATTGACTAGCACCCAAAAAAACTGTTAATTCTCGTCATTATTTGCTTCCAGTAGTTTTCTAATGATCAGTTACCGTTATTGAAAACTAAATATTTTTTTCTTATCTGGAAAATATACAGAAATCTCTTGCTTCTTTAGAGATGTGATACAATTTATAAGTAACTTTGTTCCAGTATGTGCCTCCCTGAGATAGAAATAGCTTTTATATTTGGAAAACAAAGAGCACAGCAGTGTGCAAGGAAAACATGCTAAATGCAGACAGAGAGTGGTAGTAACTAGCTTTATTTAGTAACTTTTAGAGAAAAATACTTTTAGAACGAGTTGTACTTTACTGTACTTTTTACCAAGATAATATTCTTGTGAATGCATCTCTATTCTTAGTAAAATAAACCTTCTGGTTACTCCACTAACCATGAGGAACTTGAGCTATTTGGAGATCAGGTTAAAAATAAGGTAAACTGTAGATATTGCTGCTGGAAGTTCTTTATTCTTACCTAACACGCATCACCTTCTGTTAATATTGGTTTTATAAGTGCATGCTATAAAATCAATATGGAAAATAGTTTAATCCTCTGTGAATGTGTTATTTTCTAATCATGTTATTTATTTGTATATTTATTTTATTTTATACTTCAAAATACAAGAGGTCTTACATAGCTGTCTGTCTGATTATGTAATTTTAAACATTAAATCAGATGTTACACACCAATAACTACTTAGTATTTGAGTAGATATTTTACTTAATACCTTTATACTCCTACTTGAGTAAAAGAAAAAAAGGATTTTAAGTTGTTTTACTCTTACTTGAGTACAATTTTTGGATACTTTACCTCTGCATGGAGATAATAAGACAAGTGTAAGGATTTTTTATTAAATCAAGAAACATTAGAAATTATTTTCAAATGACAAATAAAATAAAATACAAAAAAAGCAGAATCCAAAATACCCACCTTTTTCATGTTCATTAATAATTATGTTTTTCAGCAAAATAACATTGTGGACATTTTTATACAAATTCAACTTAAAAGAAACATCAGAAAGTGGCTCAATACGGTAGATGACATTCAAACGGTTGGATCTGTTGCCTACATTTCCTTACATTCAATAGTCTGAATAATAAATAAAACAATAAAGTTTGTCCCTGTGGACATAAATGGAAATAAACCACTTAGAGGCTGCATCCAGGTTTCCTTACCGTTGATGTATTTGCAGATGTATTTCCTCTTGCTGTTGCAGTTTTCATCGTTCCACTGTCCAAAGCTTTCTCCTACCAACTCACCACAGTCCTCATCATTCCAGTTATCAGGCTGGCCGGACATCCAGTACCTGAAGGAAAGGGAATTCTGTTCTTTGATGAATGGACTCGAAATTAAAAGATATATCCTCATTATTTAAGGAGGAAAATGAAACCAATGTTGATCAGACCTGAGGGACTGATTTATATACATACGATAAATATTCTATGAAAGGTTTCCCATCACTCCACTCCCAGACACCTTCTACGATCTTATCATTCAAGCCGATCCAGAAGATCTCTGTGCCGATTTGTGTTCGCACCCATAACTAGATATAGAAACAGATAAACAGAGAGCTTAAAACTGATTTTGAGGTTGGTTTTACTCTCACCTGTGTTTGCATCCTTACCCTTTCATGTATGTCCTGAATGCTCATCAGGTGGCTGGTGTGCTCAATGCAGTATGCATTCGCCTCCTCCCACGACTTTGTGTCATTTGAAAAGAAGTAACATTTATCCTCATACTCCCTCCAACCTTCCCGACACTGACTGTGGGCTAAAGAGCGGAGGGAATTAAATGTCATTTTATAAATGTTGATTCATTATGGTGAAATGGACAGTGGAGACAATGTTTTTAAAAGCAATATAAGCTAATCTCGCAACTAATATCTACTTTAAAGCAAGTTGTGTTAATCAGAAGGTAAAGTAGCCAATCTGACTACCACAGTTTCTAAGGTTTAACCAGGTTTAAAGGCTTCAGATGAAAAGTTTTTGTGCCTAAAGAATTAATTAAGCTCAGAATTCAAAATCATATTCTTATTATTGTTCCTACTGTCACACTTTCGTTCTGTAAAATAATTTTTGTTTTCATTAAACCTGCAAAAAGATGCTTAAATGGTTGTTAGCTGCATTTGCATACCGGTACCTTAAAACAATATTGAATATACTAAAAATGAACAAGACCAGAGCTTACCAACCTTTTTTTGCTTTTGTGTTTTCTAGTCAAAATTTGCTTAGACCTCCAAAAGCTGACTTAAATATCAGCAAAAAAGATACAATATATAGATAGATTTTTTTTAAATTACGAAAATTAGAAATCATATTGTGGAATTTAAAAAAAACATGGTAAATTTAATTGGTATATGTAAGAACAAATGAAAGCATTACATTTTTGCAGAAATGGAAGAAATTTGCTTGAAAACAACTTAAAAACAAACTCAATCTAATAAATGTTTTGTCTCTTGCACTAAATGCATTATTCCAAACTATTTTTCAATATCACATCATATTCCTGACAAAAAACATCTAATTCCAACCATTTATACTTTTATATGTATACAAGAGTTACACAAGATGGTTATAAAAACTTCTTTTTTTTTACTTTAACTGCCATCACAATCAAAGACCTATAGTAAACATATATATGGTATACTAAAGTAGTAGCAAGGTTTCACAGCTATCTAAAGAGGAATTAAGCTTGGATTTGAACGAGCAACAGATAAGAGAAAGTAGAGCCTTTTTGATACGTAGTGTTTCCTAAATTAGTTTTGCAATTTTTTTTTTAATGCTTAAATGGGAGATGTTTGGTTTAGGGGAAGCTTCTCTGCCTGTTAGAGTGGAAATACATAAAACAGGGATCAGTGCCACGCTGCTGTCTCTGTACCAGGTTTGTGCTTTAAAAATTACAGCTTGACATTGTTTTTTATAATGTTCTACCTAAACTTTACACCATAGATAAAGAAGCAGTCGATAATCATGGCTAAAGTGGAAGTGGGCATCTAACCTGGTTGGAACAACATACATTGGGGCTTTCAGATATTAAATGAAAAGAAAAAATTAATGTCTCTCTCCTTGCACCACTTGTTTTCTATAACCACCGCTACTTTCTAAGATTGCAGAGCATCCCTGTCATTTTAGTAAAAGTGAGAAAATTTCAGATGAAAACAGGTTCAGAAAATCCCCAAAAGCCAGTAAACCATTTTAATAGCCATCAATCATAAAAGTCTCATGACTGGTTCATATTTACAGTCCATTTCAGCCAACTTTGGATTCTGACACAAATCTTTAGGTGAATGTTTGACAAAGTTACAGACAATTTAGTAGGATCACATGTTTTGCACAGGACCTTAACTGGTTGAAAGGCCACCTAGAAAACTAGATGCAGAGGAAGAGTCACACTGAAGTTTTTACTTATTTCATATGCAAGTCACACTTAAACAAATATAGTAGAGAAATCCTTTATTGCCTCAAAGTGGGGAAAGAAAGGTTTTCCTGGAAATGTTATGCAGATGTACACGAAGGTAAGGAGATAAAAACAAAAATAGGAATAAGAGATTGAAGTCTGCCAACGATTAGAGCGATTTTAAAAGAAAACTGTAAAATAATTATGCATAAAAAATTCCAAGAGACTATTCAAAAAAAGGAAAGTTGTCAGCAGGAATGTAACAACTTATCGAGGTTTTGGTGGGGAACTGAAGATTATAAATTCTAATAGCTGCAGGAGGGAAGAATCTGTGATGATGTTTCTTTGTGCACGTAGGATGGAGCTTCTTTGAATACTGGGAGCCAATATGTCCAGTGCTCCACTAGTAAGTGAGTGTTAGATGACTCTATTAAAGTGAAACATAAACAAAAACCTACCTGGGCTTCAGAGTGGCTTATTAATTTATTATGCATGTTTTTTGGATAATTATTCACAGAAAACATTTAAGCATCAAACAGAAAGGTTTTGGATCGGATTTGATCCTTCCGTACTAACAACCACTCTACTGAGCTAACACACAATGTCTAACAACTGTGTTCCTAAGGCAGCAACCATTTGTTTCCCCCTAAACTTGAATAAAAGACCAAATGAGGTCAACTAAAACATTTTTATTAGAAAAAAATTTCAATAAATCATAAAAACCATAAAAAGATTAAAATTTAGGTGGCTGTTCTTATGGAATACATATAAAATTGAATTGATTCTTTACTGACAGGAAGTATAGTGACATCCAGTTGTTTAACCTCAATGATCCAGCCATCTATGCAGAGCTGTAATATTTTAAATGCTAATAGTTTGTTTTTATGCTAAATATAATAGTCTTTATATATAGATTTAGAATGAAAAAATCTAATCCTATTTCATACATTTTCTTTGTTCATATGCTTTTAAAAATTAAATGTTTGGCATGAAATTTAAAGATTAAAAAAAATAAATAATTTAAAGAAAAAAAAAAGAATTTTCACACATTTTCTGAAAGAAAGGGATGGATACTCACCGCAAGCAAGAAAAGCAGCAAAGAGGAGCAGCTTCACTAAAATACTTCTGTCCATTGTTTATCACTGATCAGCAATTAGGATGTATTTCTGCACATCCTAATATTGAATTGCTTTTTTAAATTTGTTTTTATTTGAGCTTCCCTCAGCCTGTCGGTGGAGGATGTGCTGGATCTCTAAGTGTCCTGATGTCTGAGCATCTTCTCCGTGGTTCTCCTCTTTTTAGCGTTTGTCCAGAGTTCAAAGACTGGAGGTAATAAAACAGAAAAGAAAAACAAGGCAGAGTGCAAAGACGCCCTTATTAAAGCTGCACAGATGACGTATAAATCCCACTGAAGTTTGCGGAGTGTGTTGTATGTAAAATGATTTGATTTCAGTTATTATTTTGAAGTCTTTTCTTTGCATTAGTTAAGGCTAACCTCATTTTCATTTACCCTAAAACATACAAAACACACCCTACACCAAACACGTAAACAGCTACACATATGTAATCTGATCAAACTGCTCTCAACCTTTTTGTTTGTATACAAAATGACTCAGACAGCAGTGATTACAGCTAATTTAACCATCCAATTGTAAACCTTAAGGAAGTAAAATAAATCTCTTTATTCAAAAGTCCAAAACTTCTAGTGTTCGTAAACAAATTATTGGAAACGCATTTAACAATAAGCCTGTAATTACAGGTAGATTGTAGGACTGTACATAACACCTTTGACAGCAGAACCCTAAAGTCCAGAAGACAATGTTTACAACAGCCACATGTCGGATGCCAATAAAGCTAACCAGCTCAGATTGGTCTCAAATGGTTACTTTTTAACAAGGATCATATAGGATGTTACAAAACATTCATTATGAAATTCTCTTTTATACTTCCGTCATCTTCACTTCGATAAAACGTCTGATGTAGAATTGTTTTACCCCTTTTTTTTATGGTCTTTAGGTTTGCAAAAGTTTGACTCCATTTATCAGGTTATATTTTAATTTTTTCCTTCCAATCAACACACAGTTGCAAACACTGTTATTTGGAAAATATTCCAAAGCAAGTTGCAGAGAAAGCACACTATTTATGGATCTAAAATAAACAGGTTCACTTCCTGGTTCACTTGCTTTTAATCAGTGTGTTTGGCTCACAACATTTATTAAGCCTGGACCATGAAGACTCAGACCTATCATAACCTGGAAGATGCTGAGATACTGGTGTCACTCTCTATAGTGAAACGAGCTTTTCGCCAAACCATTCTGAGATGGTGAAAAAATATCAATTTACAAAACAAATCTAAAAATAAATGTTTAGATGAGTCTTGTTGAGGCTTTTAAACATATAAAAATGTACCAGTATTAAGCACGGTAGTGATAGCGAGTTGCTGATGGTCTAAGTTCTTCAAATTTCAAAACAACCCCAACAAATAAATGGGTGACACGGCAGTTTGGTGTTCTTACAGGAAACTGATCCCAAACTTAATGCAAAACTGGTCTTGGATTAAATAAACTTGGCTAATGAACTTCTGTAACGATACCATCTGTCCATCAATCATCTTTCAGTCCTGGGTTCTTTGGGTTGGGAAACCAAGGCATCTCTTTTCACCATGGGTGTAGGTTTGCATAGAGACTATTAGACTACTAGAATATTAGCATATCAGATTAAAAAAATAAGAGTGGGTTTTACCTCTGTTTGCCGCTGCACAATCCTATTCCTTCAAAAGAAAACACCGGATAAATATATAAACAACAGACATATTCAGACTATATTTGGTTAAAAAGGTAGGCGTTTACCTTCTCTCTTAGTCACTGGTAAGTTCAAATGTAACCCTTTTCAAAGTGTTAAGTTGTCCCAATTTTACATTATTCTGAGCCACTGATGCTTCAAACATTGATAAACAGCATATTGTGTGTAGTGCTAATAAAATTTGTATAAATGTAGCAAAAAAAGCTGTTTTCTCTTTAAATGAAATGCGCCCTGATGCTCACATCAAGCATTAAAAAAATAGGAGCATGCATAATGAGTAGGACCAATGACATCAGACCAATTCAACTTAAGACCAATAGTGTCCCTACCAAAGTTGAGATCAAACCTACACCCTTGGTTTTCACAGACATGTTTTCTGGGGGGAGGGGTTTGTTCCCAGTCCAGCTGAGATACATGGTCTCTCCAAGTTGTCCTGGGTCTGCTCACAACCCAAATATTAGTGCTTTAAAAGCCAAGAAATCAATTATTTTGATAAACTTGACCATTTATGATACAAGCATTCATACTCAGTTTAAATTAGCCAGGAGCTTGCAAATAGCCAAGCTTTGTGTGCTTTCTCTCCAACTTGCATACACCAGCAGTGGGGGTGCATTCAAATAGTCAGGCTCGTACGTATAATTTTAAATCTCTGTGGACTTAATTTGTACTAAATACAAAAATGCGCACCTATTTCTTATTTCTACATTAAAGTTCATCCATCAACCCTAAAAAAAAAAAAAAAAAAGAATACCACAGTCCTTAATGAGCATGCCAGAAACTTCAATCCCTATGTTTTTCTTAATGAGCGGTTTTACAGGGAAAATGTAATAACATTTTTCTTATAGGAATAAGATGTCATATGGATGATAACTATTACAATGTAAAATGGGAATAAAAAAAATAAAAAAAAGAGTCTCAGCAACAATATTTAAACAACTTTATTGAACCATTTTATATCCACACTATGTAAGAACAATAAAGTCACGCAGCTCACATTTCACACACAGACATTTAAAAAGACAAAACTGGCTTCAAGTTAGCTATAAAAATGATTGATAAACACCAGCTGCACCATATCTGAGCAACTCTTTGTAATTCTTCTCGTACAAATAGTATATCTGAAAGAGTTGTCTGAGCTCCTATTGCGAAAATTCTGCCAAAGGTTATAAATATTCCCCTTTTCCATTTGGCAGAACCACTTAAATACATACATGAATTGAATTTGGACAAAAATATACTCAAACTTCACATCTATTCTAGGAAAATAGAGAACAGCAAAAGGATTATGTAGTTAGGAATTGCTGGATTATACAAAAATGTTCATATATTGAAATATAATGGAACCATCTGCAGATACAAACCTTAAAGTGGTGCAACATATTGCTTTGATCTTTTCATAACACCTCTGTCAGCAATGAAGGAAAGGATGGAAGGAAAGGATTCAGCTGATTATCTCAGTCAGTAGTTTTGGGATTCCCCAAACCGAGCAAAAAAAAAAAAACACATGAAAAAGCTGCAAATCCAGGAGCAGAAACCCTTTACTTATCTTGGAGTGAGAGTAAAGGAAAATTTAACAACATCCAAACTCAGATAGATGGTCCAGTAGAGTACTGATCTAGATATATGAAAACAGTGCAGCACTATATAGGCAGCCTTCTCAGAGATAAATAATCCTCTTACTGGCCATTACAGTATTTGTTTTTCTGAATAGGATCATTCTCAGGAGGTTTTTCTAAATAAAATCTTAGCAAATAGTATCTACTGAAAAAAAGTCCAAACAGAAGAAGATACAGTACAAAATACCCCATCAAAGATTACAAATAACACCAGAAGTCTAGAATCATGAAATGAAAATTGTTGCTGTGCTTTTCCTTTAATCAAGTCTTTTCCTTCTCTCTAATGTTTCTTATACAGCTGACTGAGCATACGCCAGCTGCTCTGCTCTCTGTGTTTAGTGCAGCGATTGGATCCAATGGCCACTCTGCGGTCAGTCACCTTTGTCAAATGTGGGGCGGCTGTCACATGCAGTTGACCACATTACTGGAGCCCTGTCCGACGTCTCTGATCTGGCTGACATGACATGAGCATACGGCAACCCCGGCTCCGGCCCGGCAGTGGGACACAGAACCCACCAGTTCCCATCTAAAACAAAAAGAGGAGAACAAGTGAAAAGTTTAAAAGTCTGCTGCTAAAGAAATCAAATTAGTTCATATAAAGTTTAAAATCCTTCTTATTAGTTTTTTTTAGTCAAGTTAGAAAACAGTCTATCACTCTCCAAGGTAAATTAAACCTTGCCACCATTTCATCTATTCTAAGCTAGTCTTATCCTTGGTCAGGCAAACTGATCCCCGCAGAAAACATTATCAACAGACAGGGGATTGATGCAAACTAAAGCCGTGTGTTCTCAAAAACAAATCGTCGTCCTACAACAAGCTCTGGGGGAAAAAATCTGAGACAAAATCAAATCCCCATCAGAACATTGATGCATTATGATAGAATCAAAGAAAAACATCTGTGCGGTGCTGAATAATTTACGGCATCTTCATCTCCACCTTACCTGTTCATCCTCGGCTCAAACGCCTCCACTGTGTTCAGGTATATGTTCCCGTTGTGTCCTCCAACTGCAAACACCCGGCCCATTACCGTAGCGACCCCGACCCCTCCGCGTGGGGTGGTGAGCTCTGCCACGTACTCCCAGCGGTGCAACCGAGGGTCGAAACGCTCCACGGAGCTCAGGGGAGAGTTGTCATCAAAGCCGCCTTTGGAACAGCACAGGGAAGATGCATTTATTAAAAGCTGGATGCTATATGAAGAACAAGTGGTCATGCATGTAAAGCACCATGTATGAAGCACAAAGACCTGAGCAAAAATAACTCGCATTTTTATCTAACAATAAATACTGAAGCATCATTTCAGATTAAGCTCTGCAATAAAACCTCCACCTGTCAGTGATCAAAAGCGCTTTACAAAACATTAACTTTAGTTTTAATTCAAACCTTTGTGTGTAAAACTCAAGATGTTGAATCTAAAGCATGCGATAACCATAAACAGGGACAACTTCAGACTGTAGGTTGCCTCTCACCGACAACATAGAGGCAGCCATTGAGTTTGCTGACTCCATTTCCTGCCCGCCGCTGGCCCATCTCGCACACCTCCGTCCACTTGTTGAGGTGGGGATTGAACCTCTCCACACTGGACAGTGACGCCACCCCATCGTTTCCTCCCACTGCGTACACGTAACTCTAGACAAAAAAAAAATTCAATTCAATTATGTACCAAACTGAATAAACGACTGATTTTTTTCCTGCTTTTACCCCCAAAGCCACAGAGCCAACTCCTCCTCTGGGCGTGTTCATCGGTGCCACAGCGCTCCAGCTGTCGTTTTCTATATCGTAACGCTCCACATCATTGAAGCAGGAGTTGTCATCAAGACCTCCAATAGCATATATAGGACCACCCAGAGCTGCCAGTGCGATCCCTCTCCTGCAAAAAAACATCAAAACATTTACATTTCATATTTACACAATTCTGTATTTGACATTAACCATTAAACTGGATTTAAATTAGAAATGTAATAATATTATGTGTACCGTTTTGTATTCATGGAGGCTTTCATCATCCACTTGTTGGTCAGTGGATCAAACATCTCCATATTACCCAGGTGCTCATTACCATCATGGCCACCAACAGCGTAAACCTTACCTGTAGGGCCAAAAAAACATCTAACATTTAACTTTCTTCATCAAGTGTTCTTGTCTTATCCTGTCCTGAATGCTGAGACCCACGATCTAGAATCAATCTTTTCTAGAATTTCTTAACTGATTTTACTTCCTAAAGTATTCTCACAAGAAAATCTTCTCACCTCCAACAGATATCACTCCCACATGTCGCCGTCTGCTGTTCATTTCAGGCCCAAAGAACCAGCTGTTTTTAGTGATCGAGTAGCATTCGATGCTGCGAAACGGGTCCCCAGAACCTCCCCGGCCCCCCACACAGAACAGAACCCCTAAACAATGAGACAAATGCAAAAAATAAATACATAAACAAACCACAAATAATTGGCTCTTTGACATGTAACAACAAAGATACTTCCAAACTGTCAGCACTACACCAGCAATAACATGCATACATTGCAGTACAGAAAGCTTCCTTTAGCATAACAGCAATCAATGGAGGTCACTATTTGATCAAAGAAGTTCAGAAATCCTCCCATATAGTAGTACCTGCTGTGTGCCTCCGTGGGACTGTGCGGACAGAATACTCAAAGTCTGGGACCACCTTGTTACTGAGGTGGAGATGATAGTTTCTGGCCTCGTCCATCAGGTCACGGCAGTCCAGGTTACCTTTGATCATCTCTTCTTTCGCCACTGTTCCTGTGAGGAAATCCACCGGCAGCAGCGGCAGCCGCACCTGCAGGAAGCAGGAGTGAAATTAACTAACAGCAAGAGGTTATAAATATTTTACCATGAAGAGTATAAACTTTTCTAGACAACACTTAGGGGTTGCCTGTCCTTTCATTTCACTTGTAAATCCCCGGGAGGGAGG